CCCCCCCCCCCCCCTCTCGCGGGGACAGCCCGCTGATTGCGCTAATTGCACCGCGTGTTCCCGTGCTCGATTCTTATTTTTTCCCGTTATTTAGGAGGACTGACTAGTGATTGGTCAACAGGTTAACGCGGTCGATGCAAGATAGAGACGCTACGTCATTCTCTGTCAGGGAAGAACACCGCCGCTAGCCTGGTCCTAACGAAACAGACGCAAGCGATGCATACAACGGCAAACTGACTCTCCTCCGCTTTTCTCATCCGCCGCTCAGCTTTTTGTGCCCACGTCTTAGCTTTGTTTGCCTTCGGCCTTCCCGTAGAATCATCAGGCGGGGCGTCGAAGGGCGGAAGAGGCGAGGTTGGCATACGAACAAAACGCGCGCCGCGCGGCGGACAGCTTGGCCAGCCAAAACGCCGGGCAGCGGCTGGTCTCTGAGGAGAAGGAAAAGTACCGGCAACGCCAAGCGTGAGTTTCGTTTTTTTCGCGAACATCATATGTATGGGATGCTGTGCTCTCGGTCATAACATTGGGCCGGCTCGGGGATTCGGTTTCACCCCTGCCTTTGATTGGTTTGTTGTAAGGTAGGCTAGCAGCCAACCTACCGAAGGTTCTCTCGTAAGCTCCAACCCTGCACAACTACTACAGCACGCGCTACCCACCACTTGGGGAAGTTAGAGTTGACGACTCTAAGCTCGAAACGAGCCTATTTCAAAGCAAGAGCTTGACCATCAGAACAGCCAACAACAATTATTCATCGGTATGAGGTTCCCTCATATAGAAAGTTAGAAACAAGCGTTTGGGTTGTGACAACAAATGGGTTTTAGAGTGAGTGGTGACGCTCTTTGCGTTGGGAATGTTGACACTTGACAATGGGAATTCCAGTATTCCTTGGCCGCAGACCTGCTGCGAAATCACCGACCCGTGTCATGTGAACGTGCGGGGGTTGTGCGGTATTTTGTCGATGTGATCGGGGTCTTGGCTCTTGCCGAGAGTGACGTTTTATGCTCTCACCGAGAAAGAATTGATCTCACGTGTTATTCGCCTCAAGTTCAACATGCCACATCTGAAGGCTAGCGCGTCGTAGGGCTAGATCATGGCCACGCAATGCCAAGCAAGAATCGAGCAGACATGCAAGGATTGCTTGCGCAAAACACGCATGGGGCTCCCGACTGTTGGTACCGCTTGTGTCAGGAGAAGGAGCGGTGATATCTCTCGAAAAAGCGATGGGTGGCAAGAGGCCAAATATATCAAAGACAAGCAACCACGCCCCCCCCGTGGTGTTTGCCATCGGGGTTGTTTCTTTTCGTCGCTTGGCAGCGACGTTGTAAAACAAGCCGATCACTTCGTGAGGTCGACAACCAGGGTACCGCTTTTTTTTTGCCTTTGGGTTTTCTTTTTGCGGTAACCATGAATGGTGGTCGAGGAGATTGTGTTGTGCGGGGTCGAGAACCCTCACTCCGCGCAAAGGGGATAATAGTAAGTTGTGTTAAATTGGTCGATTGCCCTCGAGGCAGTTTCTCAGTGCTTACAACTGTCTGTGGAAGTGAAAGCACCACAAAATAGACGTCTTCATGCGCAGCTGCCATCCGTACGCAAGGAAGTAAGCACAAGATGCCGAACACCCTTAGCAGGATGCAGCGCACCCTTCATGCAACTCGCCGAATACCTCACGGTGCTTTGCGCTTGGTGATGTGAGAGCCTGGTCCGGTGAGAACCCGGCGTGCTCCGTCCCGGCTTTGTAGGGATGCGAGGCCAATGGTCTAACGACTACGCCATGCACGGCTTTGAGTACCCTCCCTCGCTAACCCCCCACCTCTACTTGTTGTGTCGCTCCAGAAAAAAAATCATGGAAGGTGCGGCGAGGAGGAAGCAGCAGCGCCACGAACAAGGCGGCGAAACTAGCGATCAGCTAGAGCTGGCGGGTGACGGTTCACCGCCTGACTCAGAGACCGGCAGAGAGACTGCCGACGGGACGATTGGAAACCCCGCTGAGGATCCCGCTTCGGGAGTTGGGGGTGACGGTGGTGGTGGTGGTGCTACTCCTGCGGTTGGGAGCAGCGAGCGTGGGAGTGACCAGGGATCAGGCGGTCTCGATGCCGTTCGCATGCGGCTGCGCAAGAGCTTGGGGAGCAAGCGGGGGGCAGGAGGAGGAGAAGGAGGAGAGACGTCAACGAACGGTCACGGTAGCCGAAGAGACGAGCTTTGACCTTTGCTGTGCTGATGATCTTCCTTGCGTTCTTGCGCCGCAAGGCTACATCCGGCGACCCTAGGCTCGAGTGTTGTCGTGTCTCTGAGCCGGGCACGGTAAGATGGTTGTGTGCCAATTTTGTTTGGATGAAAATACAAGTTGTGGCATCCTTTGTCGTACTTGACCGCCAGGCAAGTTGTGGGAGTGAGAGCTGCTTTCCATCCGGTGCCTTGTGCAAGAGAGGAACGGGCTTGCTTTCGAAATTGTTGTGGAGCTTGCATTTGGTTTAGTTGAGGATAAATTATAGAAGTAGTCTGCATAGCCTGGGAGTTAATTCTCTCCGAACCCATCATTGACGAATACAGCACTTGATCTGTTACTCCCCAAACCTGAAAACCTGAAAATTCCTAAACCTGAACAACAACTAATAAAAACTGAACACCTCGTATATATTATTTTTTGGGATCTTCGTTGATAATTGACGACCAGTCAGAAGTACAGGCCTGAGATTCAAATCTCTTGTTGATTGTTGTTCGATGGAATGGATATCTATCAAGTTGTGCGTCCACATGTAATAAAACTCAAACGTGATACCGTAACATTCAAGAGACACGTGGTGGGTGGGTGTTTTTTTAACAGTACTTCTTTGTTTAAGAGAAGTGGCCCGATAGGGACGCTTCTTGTTTCAAAAAAAAACTCTTTAGAGGGGGGGGCAAAACGGGCTCAAGTAAGTCCGTCTGTCTGTCTGTCTGTCTGTCTGCTATCTGTCTGTCTGCTATCTGTCTGTCTGTGACCAGCCTCGGTATGTTACCCAGCAGATTCCAGCCCATTTCACCATCTCGGCACCAAATTGCAATCTAAGACGTGTTCACAACAAGTAATATATTGCCCGAGCTGCCCCAACTGCTACCTCTTGAATCCGTGCTCGGTGCGTCGAGATACTGCAGCGTCGGCACCCAACTTCAAGCAGGGAAGTTTCTGGCCCCTTGCAACACCGAGAGGAGGCGTCGTTTGATTTTGAACCAAGACAGATAGCCTCGCACACAACACACCACACACACAGAGCCAGACATGGACGAACAGGGAGAGGGAGACACAGACCACAGCGAGGGCGAGACGGCGGGAGAAGGGTGTGCCATACACTGCTGCTGTTAGCTATCGGCGGAGGAAGCGAGAGGAGAGATAGATCAACATTTATTTGGTTGCAGCAGCAGCAGCAGCAGCAGCAGCGGCGGCCTCTCTCTCTTTCCGCGGAGAGGGGCACATGACACCAACAACACAGACTCTGCTACGAACCACCATTGGTGCGACATGTACTGCTGTACGCCTCTCTACACTTTTGTGCGCGAAGGTCTAGTGTGTGACTAGTGCCTCCCGTGCTAGCCTGGTTACCCATCACATGCATGAACGCTTGAGATTGCTAGATCAAAGCTCGAACCAACAAGCGAAGCACAACAGCAGAGACATTTTCTTTTTTTTCAACTGCTACTTCGTAGCCCTATCTTTTTATACACCACACCCCTCCCTTCCCCCCGGAGTACACCTCCCTCCCCTCCGGTGTTTGCCATCGGGGTTGAGTTTTCGTCGCTTGGCAACGAAGTTGTAAAACAAGCCCCCCCCTCGGTGTTTGCCATCGGGATTGGGTTTCCGTCGCTTGGCAACGACGTTGTACAAAAGCCAATTCACTTCGTGAACTCGGTGAAGGCCACCCTCTTCCCCTCGCTGCCTCGGCAAAAGGTTTTGCGTATAGGCATGACCCTTAGCGAGGGGGGGGTCTTTCTAGCGAGCAGGGCTAGACTCACCCTCAAGGGACCGATACCTTCTTGCTGCGGCACACCCGCCGCGAGGCGTGCGTAGTGGTGGAGTTGGGTCGGCACTGGTGCGTCAGGTTGTTGTTGTTGTTGTTGTTGTTGTTGTTGTCTTCATGTTAAAAAAAATCACTTCTCGAGGTCTGACCCACCAGGGTGATATCATGATAGCACTAACTTAGCTAGTTAATTTACTTGTGCTCTTATGCATATATTGACAACCTTCGTCGGTGTCCGACAAGGAATATCCTCATGTGATAACTTACTACTATGCCCAAATAATACCAACTCCGTGCGAGACACACACTTTTAAAACAAGCTACACCGTATCAACCTTTTTAC